CCAAGACAACATAAGCAACATAAATAAGTGGACTATATCCAAGTAAAAAGCTTCTGCACAGCCAAGGAAACCATCAACAAAATGAAAAACCAATGTATAGAATGGGAGAAAATATTTGCAAATAAAATAAATTTCATAACAAAACCTTGTAATGCAAGAAAGGTGTATGTGGGATTCACAAACATCAATTAAAGAATATACATATATTTATGAACTCACACATAGAGGCATATATATAGCTATAATTATATGCACACATTTATGTGTTTTAATTTTGTCCTGAGCACTATGCACTTGATACATTTGCCTCACATATTTCAAAGGTAGAAAACATAGGCTAAGTTTATAAAAAAATTAATTTACTGAAGAAAAAATCATTTGCCCCCTGGTGATCACTGCTTTTTCCCATCTTTGTCTACATCAACTTAATGTTATTCTTGTGAACCCAAACCCATCAACTGCCTTGCTCTCCTACCCTTTCCCATATTTATCTGTAGGTGAAACTAGTCATCATAGCTGGACCACTTTTCTGATACTGAGCTTGACCATTTTTCAACTGCTGCTTTTGATAAAAGACATAATCATCTGGGAAATATAAATGCAATTTCTGGAGAGAGCTGAGTCCTTCTGAGAATGATTGCCTCGTGGGCCAAGTTCTGTCATCAGAACCTGACAGGCAGTTCACACTGGAATACGTGTTTAAGGGTGTGGGAATATGCAGACAGATTTCATCCTTTGTGTTTAACTTGGCAGTCTTTGTCCTCACTGTTTCTTGCATTGTTTTATAGCAATGACATCTTACATGATTCGCATGACTAGGTTTTTAATAGAGGAACCTTCTGGATTTCATAAGATTTGGGAAGACGAGGATGGATAGGGAGGCTGTTAAAAAGTTTTTGCCCATTTGCAAACGAAGCAATAAATTTGAAAGCTCTATGTCCAGTGCAACTGAAGAAGTGCTGAAATGTGTTCAAATTAATCTTCTATTGCAATGGAAAAAATACAAGCACTGTAATATCAGCTTCTGCATTTTCTTTTTTAGCTCTCCAGAATTTCTCTCTTTAATTTATTGTCCACTAAACTCATTAACTCCAATTCCTTTCTCACCTTTGTCATATTATGGTCATTATACCCAGATAAAGAAAAATACTGTAAGAGACAATCAGTTTCTGATACATGCTACAACACAGATGAAGCTTGAAGACATTATGCTAATTGAAATAAGCTATACACAAAAGGACATCAATATTGCCTGATTAGATTTATATAAGGTGCCTGGAACAGTAAAATTTTGTTTTAGATTTATAGAGATAGAAGTTAGTATAGTGGGTACCTGGGGCTTGAGGGTAAGCAGAATGGGAAGTTATTGTTTAATGGTTGCAGTTTCAGTTTCAGGTGATAAAAAAACTTTTGAGGATGGATATTGGTGATAGTTATACAACAACATAAATGCACCTAATGCCACTAAGCCGTACATTTAAGAGGGTTAAAATGGTAAATATTATGTTATGTATATTTTGCGTATACTGAGAAGAGAGAGAATAAAGGCATAAACAAATGAAAACATATTAGAGCATATTCTAATTCCCTAATTTTGAAGAAAAGTACATTTTTAAAACTTTTTCCATCTTCTCTGTGTTTGTTAATGAAAACTTAATGACCTAAATTGAATAAGCAGTAACATCTTGTATTACCAAGTCTAATATAAGAGCAACCAATAAATCAACAAAATGTAACTTTGAATATTCCTAAGACTTTACCCTTTAAATAATATATATCTAACAAAGTAAATTAGTAAGAATAAAAATAACAAAATGAATGCTGCTAACACCTATTTTCCATAACCCAGTTCCACTGTGGGTTTAATGAAGAAATATTTATGATCAATCCAAAGGAAGAGAAGATACAAGGCATGGTTTCCATGTGGTTGGTGGACATTGAAAGAACAGAGGGGTATTTGAAGAGCTTCTTGAAAACTTTCCAAAGAAATTAGAATTTTGGGGTGCCTGGGTGGCTCAGTCGGTAAAACGTCCGACTTCGGCTCAGGTCATGATCTCACAGTCTGTGGGTTTGAGCCCCGCGTCAAGCTCTGTGCTGACAGCTAGCTCAGAGCCTGGAGCCTGTTTCAGATTCTGTGTTTCCCTCTCTCTCTGACCCTCCCCGCTCATGCTCTCTCTCTCTCTCTCTCCTTCTCTCTCAGAAATAAATAAAACATTTAAAAAATTAAAAAAAGAAATTAGAATTTTATATGTTCCACAAGAAAGAAGATCTGTGCCAGCTCCTCCACTTTTACCCAACTGAGATGGCATACTTCGGAGAGAACAGTTGTGTGGTGCACCAGCATTGTCTCACAAGTGTCAGCATCACCCAGTGGGTTTAAACCACAGCATGCCATTTGTGACCATGCAGAGAGATCAGATGTTCTTCTTCAAAGGCTTAAATTTATTAGATCCACAACATGTACACTATTCTGAATAGAATGGAAGTGATATCTGAGAGTGACAAAATCCAATTTCCCATAAGTCCAGAGTGTGAATTTTGGAGTTTTAGATTAAATCTAACAGAAAAATAGTTGTTACTTTTTTCTACTCTATGGTAGATTAAATTTTAGGGCCATTGAATGAGTTTACTTCCCCCCCACCCTCCCCCCCAAAAACATGTTATTAAATGTATGCTCTATCTTAGCATCAATGGTGTCTAACAGTACTTTGAGTAATAGATTTATTTTTTTTGGAAATAGGAGCCACCAAATTTATAAAATACCATCTTAAGCCAATAGCCTGCAAAGTCATAATTATGTTTAGTGCTAAAATGCAGCAACTTCCTATTTAAAAAGTATTCTTACTTTGGTTTTATTTTCTTTTTGTCCTATGAATTGTCTTTTACCTGGCTTTATTGATCGTCCTCATTTTCATTCCATTTTTTATTGTGACACAAACTTAAAGCAGTTTGGCACTGATTTCCATTAAAATATTATATCTGTTGGTATCTGCTTCTAGCAACAAAGATTTCTGTGATTTATATTCTCCATATTTATATATTTTCCTGACATTCTGCTATACTTTTCTTTAACACTCTTCCTTTTTACTTTTCAGTCATTATGATAAGATCCTAAGTTTGTGAGGTTTGTTTTTAACTATTTACATAAATGGGATAATGCTATATTTAGTACTTTTATTTTTTCGTAACATAAAAAGAAGACTGAATTGGATTCAAATCTGGGCTTTACCACTTTTGAGCTGTTTGACTCACAGGTTATTTAACATCTCCAAGCCTTAATTTGGGACTTCTTGATCTATGGAACACTGTTTCCCTATGTTACATATGTTCAGATCTCAATGGAACAATTCATAGGATATCACATATTTCTTATTTTTATTATAAATCTATATATTAGTGTAGCTTGTTACCTTCAGCATTAATAGAAAAATTAATATAAATATATCCTGAACAATTTGGTTGATGACTTTTAATTATCTGTTTAATGCCCTGAGATTCATTCTCTGTTTCTAACTAGTACTGTTTCAATTACCCAAATTTTACGAAAAAAGTTAATGACTTTAATATGTAATTTTTTCTTTGTACCAATTGAATGGAAATAATTGCAGGATGTTAAGTGGGAATAAAAGTTTTTAATCCTTCACAAGAAGAAATGTGGTATACAAATTAAATTAATATGCTGCACACAATAGTATAAGCATCTGACCTAAAAACAAAAACAAAATGTTATGCTACAACAAGTACCATATTTAATTTCTGAGGCCTGATATTGTTTTAGCTTTACTATATGATCTTTCAAATTAAATTAATGTCAACTTGAATATTATAGATTGCACAGTTGCTTTGTGGATTATTTGATTAATAGCTATAAAATATTTATGTTCCAAGAATTTTATCATTATATATATTTAAGCAACAATGTTATGTAACTATTCACATCAGCCCTGAAAGTCAACTAAGATTCTTTATTAAAATTGCCTTAGTGTCCTTATCTAAAAACCAACCAAACATTCTCTATCTTTCAGGGTTGCTGTGAGAGTTAAATGAGACATAGTAGATAATCAACACAAAGACATTCCCTTTACTTATTTATAAATACCACTTACTCCCTATGACTTTTATTTCATTCTTTGTTTTCATAAATAAAGTCAATATAAATAAAACCAAATGTAGAATTAGATGCTTTTAAAATATTAATGCTGTGCTCCAGATTATGCTAAATTTTGGCATGGTACAAATGACCCCCAAGCCCTCAATGACTTCCAGCAGCAAAGGTTCGTTTCTTACCTACTTGCCCAACATAGGTTGACTGCATGTCTGCATCTCAGTAGGACTCAGTGTTTCTCTCACATGGAACACAAAAGGGGCCATGTAAAAAACACTCAATGGTGTCTGAAGCTTGTTCTTGGGATGCAACACCTCCTGTCTTCTCTCACTATATTGAACAAAGCAAGTTACATGGCCACTCTGGCTTCAGAGAGGTCTTAGCCTCTTCTAAGAAGGGACACCAAAGAGAGTTACTCATGAAGAGATTTTAAAGAGAGGCATAAAATATTTACATGATAATATAAACTATTTCAATTACTATAAGAATGTATTATCTTGGCAAATGAAAATAATAGGGCATATAATTCCTTGCTGTCTTGTAGCAGTAATGGGAAGATAAACTAAATGAGAGTACATAGAATTAAAGGATCTTAGGGGAAAAAAACATGTTTTATAAATTAAAAGTTATAATTTCTCCTCAAATCTTTTTTTAAAATTTTTAAGAACTAATTTGTAGATATGAATGTTGAGTTTTATTTTATAGAAAACTATATAAATTATATTTTTATAGATTTGCTTAGGTAAAATTCTTTTTAAAGTTTAAAAAAAGCTATTTTTTGTTGTATGAATTTTGTTGTATGAATTTCTATGTAATTCATACTATTTGTTCTACTATAAGTTTCAAAGTTTAGGGATGATAAGATTAAAAACTTTTAATAATCTTTTCTTTCTAGGATAAAACAATGAAAAACTCCTTGTATTATAATGGAATTATTCCAGGCTTTGGAAAATGGGACCATTGCTGGACCAGCATTCCTAGGAATCTCAAGGATACTCTAATCAGTTATTAAAACTGCCAACTCATAAGAAACTGGGGATTTCAGCATGGATTATTAATTGTTTTGTTATTCACTTGGAATCACTATAATGGTCTGCCCAATTACCTTACAATTGTCGTTCTTCCTGCAGACAAGCTTCCTACTAATGAATTCATATAAATTCCTACTACTATATTTATATTGGACAACTGAATTTCCTTTTTATTCTTTTTTTGTTAGTTTCTATTTATTAGGACCCTGTATCATAAAAAGGAGATAAAAATGTCTTCCATAACAGTTTTTAGAGGACCAAAAATTTTAAAATGAAATTTCTGACATCTAAGTCCCTGGCATATTTAAATTACATATCATGCTTTGGCTCATTAAATTAAATGTAAAAATGAAACAAAATGGGAAGCTTAGTTTTGCTTTTTAAAAACCTATGAAATAAAACTTTTATTGCCATCTTAAACTTGTTTGCAAAGCACAGCCTATTTTCTATGCATTTTATAGTATATATAAGATGGCTTAGTACATTTGGGCTTTTATAACAAATGCTACAGACTGGATGACTTATAATCGAGAAATTTATATCTCACAGTTCTGGAGGCTGGGAAGTCCAAGATCAAGATGATAATATGGTCATGTTCTGGTGAGGATCCTTTTCCTGTCCAGAGCCCTCATCTCCTTCTGTGCCCACATGTTGGTGGAACCAGCTAGAGAACTTTCTAGAATCTCTTTTATAAGAGCACAAACCCCATTCACAAAGGCTCCACTCTCATGACTTAGGAATTCACTAAAGTTCATACTTCCTAATATCATCACATTGTACATTAGGGTTTCAACATACGAATTTTGGAGGAAAACATACATTCAAACCACAATAGGGGCACCTGGGTGGCTTAGTCGGTTAAGCGACCAACTTTCGCTTAGGTCATGATCTCGTGGTTTATGGGTTCGAGCCCCGCGTCGGGCTCTGTGCTGACTGCCAGCTCAGAGCCTGGAGCCTGTTTCAGAGTCTGTGACTCCCTTTCTCTCTGACCCTCCCTGCTCACGCTGTCTTTCTCTCTCTCTCTCTCTCTCTCTCTCTCTCTCTCCTAGAAATAAATTTAAAAAAAAAAACCATTCAAACCACAACATAAGCAAACAGAATTTTACTCAATATATTCGCAAATTCACAAAGGCAAAATTACACATGATTCTAAAATGGCCTGTGTAGAAATTTATAGATGTATAACTTTTCAATCATTATTATCATAATTTTTATTAAGTTTTAATTTCAGTATAATTAATATGCAATGTTATATTAGTTTCAGGTAAACAATATAGTGATTCAACAAATCTATACTTTGCTCAATGTTCATCATGAAAAATGTACTCTTAATCCCCTTCACCTATTTTACCCATTTCCCCTTCCCACCACTCATCTGGTAACCATTAGTTTGTTCCCTATAGTTAAAAGTATGTTTTTTCATTTGGCTTTTTGTTTGTTTGTTCATTTGTTTTGTTTCTTAAATTCTACATATGAGTGATATTATCTGGTATTTGTCTTTCTCTGACTGACTTATTTCTCTTAGCATTATACCCTCCAGATCCATCCATGTTATTTCAAGGGACAAGATTTCATTATATTTTAGGGCTGAGTCATATTCCTCTGTGTGTGTGTGTGTGTATTGATAATAACACCTTCTTTTTCCATTCATCTAATGATAGACACTTGTATTGTTTCCATATTTTGACTATAGTAAATAATGCCGCATAAAAATAGGGATGCATTTATCTTTTTAGATTGTGTTTTCATATTCTTTGGGTATACACAGTAGGGGAATTACTAGATCATAATGTAATTATATTTTTAATTTTTTGAGGAACCTCCATACTGTTTTCCACAGTGGCTTTACCTAATTGCATTCCCATCAACAGTGCATGATGTTTCCTTTTTTCCACATCCTCACCAACACTTGCTTCTTGTGTCTTTGATTCTAGTCATTCTGACAGGTATGAGGTGATCTCATTGTGGTTTTAATTTGTATTTCCCTGATGATTAGTATGTTGACCATCTTTTCATGTTCCTGTTGGCCTTCTGAAAGGCCTTCTTTGACCTTTGAAATGTCTGTTCATATTGTCTGCTTAATTGGATTATTTGCTTTTCAGTGTTGAGTTGTAGAAGTTCTTTATATATTTCAGATACTAACTCCTTATAAAATATATCATTTACAAATATTTTCTCCCATTAAGTAAGTTGTCTTTTAGTTTTGTTCATTGTTTCCTTCATTCATGTACAGAAGCTTTTTATTTTTCTAGAGTCCCAACAATTTATTTTTGTTTTTGTTTCCCTTAGGAGACATATCTAAAAAAATATTGTTACGGGGGCACCTGGGTGGCCCAGTCGGTTAAGCATCTGAATTATGCTCTTGGCTCAGGCCATGATATCAGTGTTTGTGAGATCGAACACAGCATCGGCCTCTGTACTAACAGCATAGAGCCTTGGGATTGTTTCTCTCCCTCTCTCTCCATGCCCCTCCCCTGCTCACATTGTCTCTGTCAAAATAAATAAAAAACTTAAAAAAAAAATTTTTTTTAATGTTTTTTCAGTTGATTTCAAATACTGCCTGTACTATCTTCTAGGATTTTTATGGGTTCAGTCCTCACATTAAATACTTTGTAATCCATTTCAAGTTTATTTTTGTTTATGATGTAAGAAAACGGTCCAGTTTCATTCATTTACACGTAGCTAAATTTCTCAACATCATTTGTTGAAGACACTGTATTTTTCCCATGGTATTTTTTCCTTTCTTTGTCAAAGATTAATAGTCCATAAAATCATGGATTTATTTCTCTGTTTTGTTCTCTTGATCTATGTGTCTGTTTTTGTATGAGTAGCATACTGTCTTGATTACTATAGCTTTGTAGTATATTTAGAAATCTGAGATACTTTCAATTTTATTTTTTTTCAAGATGCCTTTGGCTATCAGGGTCTTTTATGATTCCATACAAATTTTTTGATTACTTCCTGTAGTTCTGTGCAAAATGATGTTGGTATTTTAATAGTGATTGCATTAAATCTGTATATATCTTTGGGTAGTATAGACATTTTAACAATACTTGTTCTTCAAATCCATGAGTATGGAATATCTTTCCATCGGTTTGTGACATCTTCAATTTCTTTCATCATGTTTTTAGTTTTCAGATTCCAGGTCTTTCACCTTCTTGGTTAAGTTTATTTCTAAATATTTTATTCTTTTTGGTGCAATTGTAAATGGGACTGTTTTCTTAATTTCTCTTCTTGCTATTTCATTATTAGTGTATGAAAATGCAACATATTTCTGCATACTGATTTTGTACCCTCAGCTTTACTGAATCCATTTATGAGTTCTAGTTGTTTTTGATGGAATCTTTAGGATTTTCTATAGTTTATCATATCATCTGCAAATAGTGAGAGTTTTACTTATTTCTTATCAATTTGGATGCCTTTTATTTATTTTTCTTGTCTGATTTCTGTAGCTAAGACTTCTAGTACTTTTATTCCAGTTGAATAAAAGTGGCAAGAGAGACTTGTTTTGATCTTAAAGAAAACACTTTCAGTTTCTCATGATTGAGTATGATATTAGCTGTTGGTTTTTCATATAAGGCTTTTATTATGTTGAGGTATGTTCCCGCTAAACCTACTTGCTGAGGGTTTTTTTTTTTATCATGAATGGATTTATGTTGTCAAATGTCAATGATGTACTTTGTCAATTGCATCTATTGAAATGATCATGTTGTTTGTATCCTTTCTCTTGTTGATGTGATGTATCATGTTGATTTGTGAATTTTGAACCTCTTGCATCACAGGAATAAATCCCACTTAACTGTAGTGTATGATATTTTTAATGTATTGTTGGATTCAGTTTGCTAATATTGGGTTGAGGACTTCTGTATCTATGTTCATCAGAGGTATTGGCCTGTAATTCTTTTTTTTTTTTTTTTTTTTTTTTTTTTTTTTTTTTTTTTTTTTTTTTTTTTTTTTTTTTTTTTTTTTTTTTTTTTTTTTTTTTAATATCATGGTAATGCTGGCTTCATGAAATGAATTTAGGGGCTTATCATCCATTACTATTTTTAAAATAGTTTTAAAGAATAAGTATTAACNTGTATTGTTGGATTCAGTTTGCTAATATTGGGTTGAGGACTTCTGTATCTATGTTCATCAGAGGTATTGGCCTGTAATTCTTTTTTTTTTTTTTTTGGTAGTGCCTTTATCTGGTTTTAATATCATGGTAATGCTGGCTTCATGAAATGAATTTAGGGGCTTATCATCCATTACTATTTTTAAAATAGTTTTAAAGAATAAGTATTAACTATTTTTAATGTTTGGGGGAATTCACATGTAAGGCCACTTGGTCTTGGCTTTTTGTTTGTTAGGAGTTTTTTGATTGCTTATTCAGTTTCTTTGCTAGTAATCAGAGTGTTCAAATTTTCTATTTATTCCTGCTTCAGTTTGGTAAGTTATATATTTCTAGGAATTTATCAACTTCTTTTAGTTTGCCCAGTTGTTGGCATATTCTCTTATAATCCTTTAGATTTCTGAGGGGTCGATTTTTATTTCTCTGCTCCATTTTTTATTTTGAGCCCCCCCCCCCGCTTTTGATGAGTCTGGCCAAAGATTTATCAATTTTGTTTATCGTTTCAAGGAAGAAACTACTTGTTTCATTGATCTGTGCTATTGTTTTGTTTTGTTTTTCTTTTTACTTTCTATTTTATTTATTTCTACTCTAATCTTTATTATTTCCTTCCTTCCTTTGGTTTTGGGTTTTGTTTGTACTTTTTTTTAGCTCCTATAGGTGTAATGTTTAATTCTTTATTTGAGATTATTTTTGCTTCTTAAGGTAAGCCTGTATTGCTATAATCTTAGAAGAGCTTTTATTGCATCCCAAAGATTTTGGACCATTGTACTTTCATTTTCATTTGTCTCCATATATTGTTTGATTTCCTGGTTAAGACATTCATTGTGTAGTAACATGTTATTGAACATCATGTATTTGTAGTCTTTCCAAATTTTTTTGTGTGTAGTTGA